CATCATGAAAGTGCTATAGAGACAATACCTAGATTCAGGAAAGCTTCTGACAAAGTCTCTCACACTATCCTTAAACTTTCTTAAGGTCACTCACGCCTGGACACTCTCTGGAATTCTCACCTTGCACATCTCCCTTTCTGGTTCCCCTTTATGTACTGTATTTTCCCTTTTAGAATGTAACCTCCTTGAGGTCAGAGACTGTCCTGCTTGCTTCTGTGTATATCCCTAGCACTTACCAGTATCTGGTATATCATTATTGTTTAGTCGTTTCAGCGGCATTCAACTCTTTGTGACCCCATTCAGGGTTTTCTTGGCAAAGATACTGGAATGGTTTGCCATTTCCTTCTCCAGATCATTTTACAGATGAGGAAACTGAGTCAGAGAGGATGAAGTGACTTGCCCAGGGTCACACAGTTAATAAGTATCTGAGACCAGATTTGTACTTAGGAAGATGAATCTTCCTGACTTCAGACTGGACACTTTATCCACTGTACCACCTAGCTGCCCTACCTCTGGTATGTAGTATGCCCTTAATACTTTTTTTTTCTCTCTTTCCTTCTCTCTCTCACCTCCTTACCTGTCTACTTGTCTGTCTGTCTATCTATCTATCTATCCATCATGGTATATAAGATGGAAGGATGTGGGCTAAGCAATAGTTAGGTGTGCTTGGGAGTAGTTGAATGACTGGCCCCAAAGAGAAGCCATTAAAGTCTTGATATCAGCTTGGAGGAAGGTCCCTAGCAGAATGTCCCAGGAATTTTTCCTTGGCCTCTTGCCTATCAATGCCTTAGTGGAAGGCATAGATAGTTTGCTTATCAAATGTCCATGTGACACAGGATTGGGAGGGATTGATTGGTGGAGGAGAGAATCAGGCCCAAGAAAGATTTCAAAAGGCCAAATCTAAGGAAATGAAATATAATTGGGATAAGTATAAACTCCTGCATTAGTGGGTTAAAAAAAAAAAAGCCACTTCAAAAGACAAGATGGTAGAGATGTGACTAGGCAGTTGCTCATTTAATAGGCTACAAACTCAACAGGAGCCAATAGTAAAATACAGCAGTCTAGGAGGAAAGGTGATCCTTTGGAGAATTCACAGAGGCTCCAGTGTCCAGAATGAGGAAGGTGTTGGTCCCACTGAAATCTCTCTGCTCTGGGCAGACCACAACCGGGATATTGTGATCACATCTGGGTGCCGAATTTTAGGAAGGATGTTGATAAGGATCAAATGAGATAATACATGGAAAGCTCTTGGCAGCTTTAAGGCTCAAGGGATACATATATGCCAGCTATTAACTTTTAAAAATAAGATTGAGTGTCCAGGGGCTGCAACCAAGCAACCATGATATCAACAGAATCATAGGTTTAGAACAAGAAGGTGACCTTAGACATCCTTCAGTCCAACCTCCTTATTTTACAGAGGAGGAAACCAGAGGAGCACCAGGGAGGTAAGAGGATGACAGATCTATACCCCCATTTTAAAGATAAAGAAACTGAGGCCCAAGGGTATGACGTGACTTCTTCAAGGTCATCCAGGTATTAAGTGCCAGAGATGAGATTTGAAGCCTAGGCTTCTTCCTCCATTCCTCCCCACCCCCCCCAATCAGTGAATGCTCATGCCAATATGAGGAATTGTTCAAGGAACTGGAGACATTTATCCTGCAGAAGAGAAGAGTTACAGGGGACTTGTCACATGTGACAATCCTACATGTGTTCTATTTGGTCCCAAAGAATAAGGAGCAGTGAGGAGAAGCTGCCAAAGGACCAGATTTAGCTTTGGCCTAAGGAAAAACGTTCTCACTCGTGTAGTGGTCAAGGGTTAGGGTAAGCTGAACAGTGGAAGAGGTGGTGGATTCCCCTTTGGCGGGGGCTATCAAGTGAAGGTGGGATGGCCTCTTGTTGGATATGTGGCAGAGGAGATCCCTGCTCAAGTAGGGATGGACTCTTCTGGTTCTGAGATTCTGTCATGTGTTTATCTGCGTATCTAGTTACTTACATGTCTTTTCCAGTAGAAAACTGAGCTCCTCAAAGGCAGAGAACAGCCTTTGCGTCCTCATCCCTTAGCACAGTACCTGGTACATATAGTGGCTGGGCCTGGAGTCACGAAGACTCCAGTTCAAATCTGGCCTCAGATATTTAATAGAGTTGAGACCCTGGCCAAGTCACTTAGCCTCTGTTTGCCATTTTTTCATGCTGATGATACTGCACAGACCTGCCTCACTTAGATCCAATTCACTTGCAAGTCAAGACATCACCCTTCTGATGTCATTGAACGAATAACAACAATCTGTGAGGATTCCATGTGCATAGAGCCTAGCACATAGTAAGCGCTGCATAAATGTTAGCTATTGTTAATTATTATTATTGTACATGCTAATTGACTGACTGGAGGTTCCCAGTGCTGGGGATACAAGGACAAAAACGAACAGTCCTGTCCTCAAGGACCTTACAGTTTATCAGGGGTGTTACTATATGTATTCAGTTAAATAAAAAGCAATTTCAAGAACTAGTGATGGTATCACAAACGGACAGAAATGCTTTTAATTGGATTACCAGGAAGAGATGGGGTGTGTGTGTGTGTGTGTGTATGTTAAACCTGAGAGGCAAGCCTATGACAGTGGGGAATTCCATGTATTTTGTATGTTCCCTTAAAGCAGACTCTGGGGGTAAAGCTAGAAAATTAACCACAGGAGGACTGCTTTTTTACTTGCAGCGGAGCTGAGCTTGTCTCACTAAGATTTAATCTGCAGAAACAAATGTTTTTCAACAGACATAACCTGCTTATTTTCAATATTTATATGTAAACAGCAAATTATGACGGTGTGCAGTTATGCTGGAAACGTGCATCCTCGGGGGATGGATGTGAGACACTAGAGGAAGCCAAATATCTGGAGGCGGAGATGATATATACACACGACGGAGTGGGTGCCTTAACAAAATCTGTGTGTTTTTTAATTTGCTGTTGTAGCACATGGCTACTCCATCCAGACCTGTACTAAAGTTAGAAACCGCCTCCAAGAAACTGCGCTTTCTTCTTTGATACCTTCTTTATTACAAGCACTGTTATCTAGTCTTCTCCAGAGCTGGTGGAGAACTGGATTTTTTTTTTTTACTAGGGTTCGGAGAAATATCCTACAGCTAAGACTTAGAAGGGGGAGGGGGGTAACCGCGGTCTAGACTTGGTTTCTGCAGCACAAGCTGATTATGCAAATCCAGTCCCCTTGTAAATCATGGAAATATGATTGGGTTTCAAACGCTTAGCAAGTTGGAAACAAAGCCAGCCTCCGGGACCAACTACGATTTATGTGGCGCTTCACCCCCACACAAGCACAAAGAAACAAACAGAACCGGACCCAACGCCCTCAACCAAGGCCAAGGGGCCATAAACACGTGGCCTCGACCCCCCCCCCCATGGTGGGCACCTGGAAGGTGGGGAAGGGGCAGGCTCGTTACATATTTCGGGAGCTGCTCCTCTGGGAAGGAGGAAGAGGCGGGGGTCTGGGGGCCTCCACAGATTGCATCCAGCCGCAAGAGTTTTGCCTACTTTCCCAACTTTGCAGGTCTCCCAGACCTGGAGGAGGACTCTAGGAGGGACTCCCCCGGGCCCCAGTCCTCCGCCTAACATCACCGGGCTGAGCCTGCGATTCTCCTTTAAGAAGCAGGGGGTGGGGATGGGGGAGAGTCCCTCCCCATTCCCCAGCCTTTCACACCTTGGGTGGGAAAAGAGAATGGGGGCTCCGAGACCCAAGGTGGGGAAGGGAGGGGGTGGGGCTCTGGCCGGGTGGGGCGGAATCGGCGCCCGTGCCCGGGCCAATCGGACGGCCCTGGGACGCGGCGGCCTCAGGACCCTCTGCCCTGGGCCAATGGGGAGCGAGCTGGGGGGCGGAGCCAGAGCATGTTGCAATGTATCCAACGTGGGCCCGGCCCGGGCGCGCGGCGGCGGCGTTTGCGGCGGAGGGGGCGGGGCTGCGGTGACCTGGGAGAGTTGGGAGAGCGATTGTTTGGGCGCGCGGGGCTAGCGCAGCGGGGCTGGAGCTGAGCGGTGCGAGGATCTGAGCCGTGCAGAGCGGTGCAGAAAGGAGCTGAGCGGCGCGGAGCCGTGCTCGGAGCGGAGCTGAGCCTAACTGAGTGGTGCAGACCCGTGCACCGCCGAGGCGAGCGGTGAGCCGTGAGCGCTGTAAAGTCGAGCTGTGCCAGGAGCGGAGCGGAGCTGAGCTGAGCCGTGCAGAGCCCGGTCCGGGGTCGAGCGGATCGGAGCTGAGTTGAGCGGTGCAGAGCGGAGCCAAGCCCGGCCCGGGGCTCTGTCGCTAAGAGAGGCGAGGCGTGCGTGCCCGACGGCCGGGCTGGAGCCGAGAGCCTGCGCGCGGAGCGAGGCGATGCCCGTAGCAGCTGGGCAGCTGCGGGGCTGAGCCACTTGTGCGGGGGCCCTGTCGGACGCAGGAAGGGGACGAGGACCGGCATTCGCCCACTCCGTTTGCAGCAGCTTGTGCTGGGGACTACCCTGCCCGGATGGGCGCGGACCACCCCCCTTGCCCGAGGCGGTGGGCTAGTTGAGCGGCGGAGCCACTGAAGCAGCCCCGGGAGGAAGAAGCAGCAGAGGAAGAGGAGGAGGAGGAGGGCGCGGATCCCGCCCCCGCATCCAGCCTCGCTTGCTCGCTCTGACTCCGGGCACTCCGGCCCGGCCACAGAACTTAGGTCCGGCGGAGATGCTGGGCGCTTAGCGCCAAGGGGCCGAGCCACAGACCTCCCAGCAGCCCTCCCGTCCGCCCCAGACCTGTGCCTGCGCTCCCCCGCGAGCTTCCCGAAGTTCCCACCGGCCGCCCCCCACCCCCGCCGGGCCGGACCGGACCGCGCCGAAGCCAAGATGGCGGGGCGCAGTTGGGGAGGCCTCGGGGCCCCGCGGTGGCCGCTCCCCCGCCTGCTACTGGCTCTCGGCTTGCGGCTGCTGTTGGCCGCGGCCGCCCCGGGGCCCGACGCTCCCTGCGCCTCCAACTGCACTTGCACCGGGGCCCTGCTGGACTGCAGCGGGCTGGGGCTGGCCGCGCTGCCCGAGGAGCTCCCCGCGTGGACCGTCACACTGTAAGTGCCCCCTGTTCCCCGCCACGGGCAGTGAGGGTGGGGCCCACGGGGGTGCAAACGTGTGTGCATGCAAGTGTGAGTGTGTGCGCGTGTCTGTTCGACTGTCTGTGGCTCCTGTAACCCGACCTTGCTTGTTCCGCTAGTGGGTAATGAATCAGGGTCACCCTACTCTTCCCCACCCCACTCCCCTTTTACATTATTTATTAGAGCGTGACTGCGTCTCTCTGGATTAGTGGAAGCGGGCGCCTTGATTTAGGGCTGGGGGTTGCACGTCCCAGAGACTGCGAGCTTCCCTGGTCCGGGACTGCGTCCCCGCCCCAGTGATGATGAGATGATGACTCCTTAGGGTCCTTTACTCTAAGGTGGGTGTCCCCCTTTCAGTGTTCTGCTGGTTAGTTTCATGCTCTGTCCTGGACAGCTGTGACTCTGCTAATTTAAGTCTGTTGTCCCGCAAAGAAAGTTGTCTCTTCTCCTTTCTAGATGGTACCCTGACGCCGCGGGGAGGTTATAGAGAGGTTGCTGGCTGATTCGTGACCCCTGTTAATGATCTCCCTCAAGGCCGATTGAAACTTAAGGGGGTATAGCTGTAAAATGAAAAAAAAATCCATATGAATGGGAGCAAAGGCTTGCTTTAGCTTTAAGAAAAAAAAATCTTCCATCATCTGGGGTTGAATGCTGATGCCCTAATCACCAGTACTTGGCATTTCTATAGTTACCTCTATTCTCTGAATGGTTCAGCCCTTGGGTAAACTGGCTAACTTGCCATGTACCTATTCTTCTCTGGAATGGATTGAAACATTTTCTTGAATATAAAAAGAGGTGCTAATAGAAATTCCTATCCACTCCACATTCGTATATTTAGCAGCTTCTGGCTGAGGGAACGAACTCGGTGCCAGAAACTCAAAGACAACCCCCCCCCCAAACAAACAAACAAACAAACAAAAAACAGAAACCTGATTTTTTTTTTTAAATGGAAGCAGAGTTTTAACACCTGTAGATCGACCTGAGAGAAAGTCTTAGTGTGATGGGGAATAAAAAGTGTTTCTAGAGGTAATCTGAAATGGAACGCCCAGTTAAGTCTGGAGAAGTTAGAGTCAGTCAGGGGAGTACTGTCCTGGTATTCCCAGTAGTGCTTGAACTATTGACTCACTGAATTCTACCGAGAATTCAGTAATTATGTAAATTATGTAAATTATCTCTCATATATACATGTATGTATGTGTGTATGCCATGCATGCATGAATATATACAAATAGATACAAATAAATGATAACTAACATTTAAGAGTTTATAAAAACCCTGTGAGGTGTATAGGGCAAATCTTAATCCCATTTCACAGAAGAGAAAACTGAGGCACAGAAGTTAATGCCCAACTCTTGAGTGTTAAGAGTCAGGACTTAAATCCAGGTCCTTCTTGTAGTCTTTTAAAAATAATGTGTTTGTGAAGAGACAGGGAGTGCAGGGGAGAGTTGAAACCGTGCAAAGGCTAGACTTAACTAAAGACATCTTCCCCACTCCTGCAGAAATGACCAGTCCATTGAACTGTGCCCCTCACCTTTGGCTCCTGATCCAGTACCCCTTTGCAGCATGCCAAAATGACTTTCAATTTGGGTTTGTGTTAAATAAAGTGAAGTAAAACGCACCTTTATTTCTTCCATATCTGTGTTCATGTCCAGGTCATCTCAATAATAAGTATTGAATATCTTTTGTTGTTTACTTGGGTCTTGCTTTCTGCACACATAGTTAAGTGAGCAGTTAGGCTTCTGGAGCAGCCAGCCATCCATCCATCCATCTAGCAAATGACTTGAATCCTAAGTTCAGTTTGCTCTCTTTGGCGAGATGCCGGCTGGCCAGCCCAGCAAGCATATATTAATCAGTGACTGTGTGTAAGAGGCTTCACTTATGTGCTGAGAACTCAAGCACCTGCTTCTCTGATAGAGAGAGAGAGAGAGAGAGAGAGAGAGAGAGAGAGAGAGAGAGAGAGAGAGAGAGAGAGAGAGAGTGTGTGTGTGTGTGTGTGTGTGTGTGTGTGTGTGTGTGTGTGTGTCTCAGTTGCTGGGGGCGGGGAATGCCTCCAACCCGGAGGAAAGATGAGTCATAATTAAGGGCATAGGAGGTCAAAGAGCAAGGGATCACTTATAGCCTGAGAGCTGGAAGGAACAGATCAGGAAACTGAGGTCAGGAGACGAGGGACTTGATTAAGATGACACAGGTAACAATTAAAGCCAGGATCTGAACTCAGGTCCTTTGACTCCAAATATTGTCCATTACCTGGGGGAACAGGGCATGCCATAGTTGTTAGGTTTTTTAAAATTATTTTTAAAAAATGAAACAGAGTTTGCAAAATTGATGCTAATTTACTTGGTTTGACACCTGGCATAGTGCAAAATACCTGTTTGATCTTGGGTTAGGAGGACATCAGCTTAAAAGAAAAGTTTCGTGTGATCACAAGACTTACTCTGGTCACGCCTTGTCCATTTAATTTTAGAATAAACCACAATTATGTCCAATAGCTCAGGGGTGTCATTCATGACACAAATATCTGTTAACATTTTTTTTTAAAGTCTCAGTTTTCAATGCCTGGTAGTGTGGCAGTAAGGATAGAGGACTGGCCATGACTCCAATCTATGATGCTAACTGCCTAACTGTCTCTCCCTAGTGTCCCACTAAGCTCTCTTGGCCATAAATTTCCCAGGGTTTGCTGACCTTCCTCCTTCAGGACTAGTCCTTACGCTTCGATAGCTACTGGCAGTTGTGGCCACGTGGAAGCCATATTCTGGACTTGAGAGTCTGGAATAAAAGGTCTGGGTTCTAATTGTACCTCTGAGATTTTTAATAGCTGTGTGATCATGGGCCAGTCTGGAGCAGTGCAGACTGGATTTGGAGGGACCCCTGGGTTCAAAATTGGCTCAGTCTCATACTCCCTTGTGTAACCTTGGGCCACAGTTCAGCCTTTTTGGCCTCAGTTTCCTCATCTGTGAAAAGGAGGATTGATTAGATGGCCTCTGAGCTCTTTCCAACCTTAAATTTTATTTTCCTCCAATTTCAAACCACTGACACCCAGAGCCCTTATCTACTACATTAAATTATTGCTATCGTACTTGGTGAAGACCACACATTGACTCTCAATAATAGCTCCTATTTAAATGGCACTTCGGTACAGGTCTATTATCTTTATTTCACACCTGAAGAAACTGAGACTCGATTAAGTTGTATGTTCCCATAGTTACCCACTTAGTAAGGAATTGATTTAGGCCTTTCTACCAAAGCCTTTCTGGCTCCAAAACTGGGACAGGGCTTTCTGACGTTAAGTTTTTGTTTCGTTTTAAGTGGGTTGGTGGGTTTTTCTTTTTTTTTTTTTGGCAGAAAAAAAGGGAGGTGGTTTTACCCTATGTTATCTGTCTTGATTAGACTGTAAGTTCACAAGTAGTTTTTTTTAAAAAGCCACTTTCTGAAATTTTCAATGTATAGTTCATAATCTTGTTCTTTAAGCAAGCTCGTGACAGCACCTAATTTAGGAAGGGATTAAAACAGTAGAATTGTCTGTGAGGAGTTATTCTCAGCAGCTAATAGTAGTTATCTGTAATGTCATAGTTATCTTCTACTATGCTATGACTTTACACCCTTGAAAGCCTTGTGTCCGAAGAGGCTTGGAGCTGGTTTATAAGCTCGAAATTCCTTTTACAGTCACTCAGGCAAACAGTCCAGAGGCTATGGGTCAGAAACAGCAGGGGCCTCATGAATCTTTGGACTTTGGCAAAGACTGCATTTCGAGTTAGGAGGGAAGATTGGGCCCATGGAAAGAGCTGAAGGATTGGGAGTCAGAGGGACCCAGTTCAAGTCTGGACTGTGGCATTTAATGCCCATCTGACTTTGGGCAAGTAATTTGAACCTCTCTGGGTCTCAGTTTCCAAATCTGGAATTAAACTCCAAGGTCTCTCAATGATCTTATTAAGGAAAGTAAAACTTGCCTTACTAATAGAAAAATGAAGGGGCAGCTAGGTGGCGCAGTGGATAGAGCACCTGCCCTGAAGTCAGGAGGACCCGAGTTCAAATGTGTCCTCAGACCAAACACTTGACATGTACTAGCTGTGTGACCTTGGGCAAGTCACTTAACCCCATTTGCCTCACTTAAAAAATAAAAAAAATAGAAAAATGAGATATCAAAAGGGGTTGTGTGTGTGTATGAATTGGTATAATGAAAAGCTTATATGTATTTCTGATTTCCTGAGGGACTGACTGTGACCTTTGTAATCATGCTACATTCTTAGGGGTCAGGAAGACCTGTTTAAAATCTGAGCCTCAGTTTCCCCATCTGTCCTATAGAAGGCAGTATCTTTTGCTTTTCCCAGTCTTTAGCAGTGCCTGGCACGTAGTAGGGGCTTACTGACTGACTGAATAAGAAAGCTGACCTTCAGACCCACTTGTGACATCTTTTGTGTCAGAATGAATAGCTCTTGTGAGGATCAAATGTGATGTGACTACAGGGTTTTGCCAGCCTTAAAGAGTTAAATAAATGCCAGCTGTTAGTAGTAATCACTTTGTGGTTTTTCTTACACTTTCTAAAAATGTTGATGCTTTTTCTCTCATCCCAGTCATTTCAGAGAAGTCTACCTTTTCACTCCAGAGGGAACTTTGAATGAATGAGATGAATGAAAAAGGCATTTATTATAAGCACTGAGGTCTGGGAAAGAAAAGCAAATACATAGAAATACCCTACATACTATATTTCTTTGCATCTTGTGATTTTCATCTGTCTGAAAACTATTCTCACCAACTTGATTTGAACTCAGGTCTTTCTCTGATAACAAATAATAATAGCTTATATTATTAATGGTGCAATAGTAGCATTATAATAGGAACAGGGACCTTGCACAAAGTAAGTGATTAATAAATTTTTTTGTTGTTGTTGTTTAGTCATTTTTCAGTTGTCTCTGACTCTTTGTGACTCCATTTGGGATTTTCTTGGCAAAGATACAGGAGTGCTCTGCCATTTCCTT